AGGATTCTATGATTCTATGATCATGAAATGAGAGGTTTTTTCTTTATATGTAGAGAGACAAGAAAAGGAATATTCTATTTCATCTTGATGTTCTGAAAAGTTAGGTCTAGATAATGTAACCAATCCAGTGAATCCTTAACTTCTAATTCTGTCTATCTCCTCATTTGTTGTAGTTTTACTGGTTTTGTGAGTAGGTATTTCTATGTATCTTTTAAAAATACTGTAATAAGATAAATCAGAAAACTGGAAATAAACTCCTAAATTTTGATTACAAGCAATACTATATAATCTAAATAATGAACTTACCAAATTTCTATTCTAAATGAGTTATAATGTATATGATTCTTACTTTTATTGGAAGTCTCAGAATATCGCCCCACTATTTAAAAATCCTTATTATTTCATATCTATATTTATGCCCAGTTTTAAGTATTAGTTTACGTATCCCTTTTGGATGTTTACTCTCCAGCATTAGTTATCACAATGCTCTGTTCTTTCAGTTCATTATTTTCAGCCCTTTTGGCAGTACATTTCTCAGCAAATATTAACTTTTTAGTTTTCAGCTGATCAATAATAACAAAGATAATTAAGTAAAAGTTGTGAATTACACAATTTATAGGATTATATGAATACTCTCACGTGTAGTGCTGGTGTCCTTGTTTTATTTACATTTGCTTTATTTTCATCAACAGGCAACTGTGGCTATCATCAAATCTAAAATTCCAACCTATACTTCTGTCTCTTGAAAAAGAAAACTGTAGTGATTTGTACTGTAAGGTGAAGTTTGGAAGGAAACTGCCTGTGGACATCACCGACACTTATTTGTGGTTTAAATAATCACGGCTCTTCAGGGTGATGGAGAGTGGGAAAAGTCCTATCAGTTTCTGAATGTGCAATTATGGAGGACTTCTTAAAACAATTCTCTCTGGATTGGCTGCTATGTGCTTACAATGACACTGACTAATTTCAAAAGCAGAGTAAATATTCTTATATTTTTTATAAATTACAATATCCTTTAATATATTTGCAGTGCTTAACATGTCTTGTACATTTGTGCGATGCAAGATAATTTGGCAGTAATTAAATACTGACTTACTTGGTGTTAAATTACGCATGTATGCATACTTGTGAAACATGTAACTTTTGTGCCACGCGCATAGATGGATTTAGATTGTTCATCAGGACTTACTGGGCTAGATGCAGAACTGTAAGAGCTTATCTAGACTTCTTGAATTGCATTGAGTTCGCATTTAGTAATGCCATGGATAGGCTTAGGACTAGCTTGTGAAGTCAGCCCCAGAGAAGCTAATGAACTTCTGATTGTGGAAGCTATGAAAAAAATATGAGTTAAAGACAATAAAAGATTGCAGAAGCAAGCTTACATGGCTGACAGACATTGTAGGGTGCAGCATTTGTCCATGAACATATTTGAACTTGATCGCAAAACAATCCCTAACAGGTCTTACGATAAATACTACTCAAGGTTCATGTTCTTATAGTTATTTGAGCTACCCTCTGAGGAAGAGCTCACTGAAATAACAAAATTTGCCATGGAACTTTTATACCTGAGGAAGATTCAATTTTGGAATTTGAAGTTGTTGGAATGTATATTTTTTTTTGTCATCAGAAGATGCTGGGCTTTAGGGTATTAAAAAAATCTGTCATGTAAAAGCAATTTCATAATTTTTGGAAAATTGACACTGCTTGACTAAATTAAATTTACCTCTGATTGTGTTAAGATCTCTGCTTAAGTCAAGATGTGTGTATTTAAGATTTTTTTTAAAAAAAAAAAAGTTGTTAGCAAAAATATTTAATTTGGAGAAATTAAGTATTTGTTCAAGAGCTCAAAAAAAATTGATCATGCTGCTTGTTTTTCTTCATGTTTACTTTATTTTTTTTTTACAAAATGTACACATTTAGTTTACACAAACACGCTACAGCAGATTTCAGGTGTACATGTATTGTACTACTCTTATCCTACACTGGTGATAGCAGAGCAGCCTTCAACGTACCTCTAACATCCCATCTCTACACCAGAATAGATACCTGATTTATTTTTGCAAAAGACTGGTTGCAACATTTGTTCTACTTCATTAGTCCCCCGTCACATTTTCTGCAGCACTGTCACAATGAAGATTGGCCTATCTCTGATAGCCTTTCAGCTGTGTTGAAGTCTTGGCATAAACTCAGTGGACAATATATCTTAAAAATTATGGGGGGGAAGGGCAGTGTTACATTTTGGATGCATACCTTTTAGAAAAATCTTTCTAGGTTCAGAATTCAGGTAGCTCCAACCTAAATGAAAAGATCCTTAAAAAATGTAATGCATTTATCACATGATATCATATAGCTGAAGTTTCCAATTTTTTTTTTCCTGACTGTCTCATAATTAAAGATACTACAAAAAGCTGAAACAGATGTTAGCCCGTTTAGCAATCGTTATTAGTAGATGTTACTATATACTACGTTCATGCCTTTTTCTTCATTGAAGGGAGAAAGACATAGTCATGAAAAGTGTGTTAGGATCCAGTTAAGGTTTCTTCATGACAAATCAAATCAGAAGATCCTTAATTTTAAGCAAAAAGACTTTGTGGACACATCCAGGAAGAATCAGAAATACAATATGTAGGATGCCTGATATTTATGTCATGATAAAATTAAATGGAGATCTACTATGTAAGCATGATTGATAGAAGTATCAGTATTACTCATATCTGAGTAAGCTCAGTGTACCTATAAGCAGATTCTTTTTTTTGTTCTGTAACAGTTCTTCCTCTGAAGTTACCTATTTTGTTAGGTCTGGGGATAATTTTTAAAGAGAAAAGTAATTCAAAGGTAGAAGGCAATTGCAGCAAGATGTGCGTTGCACATTGATTATAGCACTTTAACTCAAAGTATTATTCAAAGAATGAGGACTACACCATACAAATGTGAAAAAAAAATACATGGTAAAGCCTCTGTATAAATTAGAAGCTAAGATTTAAGAAATACACTCAAACACCTGGAGCTTAATCCAGTAAAAATGAATAGCAAAACTTAAGAGTATTTATTTAATCTCCTTGTCATAATGTCTATTTTATCTAGGAGTTAGAATGATAATAAAACTATAATTTCAGGTCTTATTTTGTTTGAGTCTGGAGTTAAAACCTGTCTTTTCAGAACAATCTGTTAACTAAGTAACCACTGTTGAAGTGCTAAAGTGTATAATTTAGAAAGTTTTTCTTGTTGGGAAAAGTTCATAATAAAAAAATTATTTGCATAATACATGTCTCAGTGTAAAGCTGAGTAATTTTATTTATGATAAAGTGGGAAATTAATCTTTTAGGTAATGTTGCAGAATAGCTTGTATTTGTCCATGAGTTGCAGACCCAAGGTCTTCATTAAATCACATTTTCAAAGAGCTGCATGGATCGCATTATATTCTCATCCTGGAAAAAAGAGAATAAAAAACCAAAAATCATACACCATTACAAATGTAGCTGCCCAATATCTAGAGTGAAACTGGGTGGAACTAACTGTATTTTACAGTTACAGTTAATTACAGTATTTTTCAGCTTGTTTGGAGAAATTTTTAGCAGAAAAAAGGCAGTTAATGGATTTATACTTAAATAGGTTTTTGTATATATTAATTAAATCAAAACTCTTCTGTCAAGAATACAAGAGCATGTTAAGAAAATTCTCTGCAATATTATATAACAAAACACATATAGGCAGTACATATTCAAGGAATAATTGTATCTGAAGTGTGAATCTGTACACGAAATTATACACAGGAGCAATTCTAGGGCATCCTATTGCATAGCTGGGGATGACTAAAATAGAGTTGATTTAAGTGTGCATCTCTGAATGAACTTTGAAGAGTTAGGCTGTTTGCAGATCACCAAAACATATTTTGAGTCCTCACCTCAGATTTTGTGTGTTCCTGTTGAAAAGATATTTCCAATGCTACTTCTGCATTCTGATTGCTTTGTATTACATGGGTAACCAAACCTTCAACTTCCAAGTTCTACATGATGGTTACTGGTGAATCACTCTGTATTCCAGTTTGTAATCAGTAAATTACTCTGCACAGCAGTCGGGAAAAAATACTTTTTTTTTGGTAAGCTATACCTTCCAATATCTAGCAGAGTTTGCTTGCGGTAATAGCCCATATTCGGTGGCATTTCTGGGTCAACTGTTGATTGCACGGGAAGAGTGTATTACATGCTCATTTAGCATTTCCTGGTGTCCACTGTAATGATCCTCTTTTTTATTCTGAATGCACGCTCTTTAGTACTTTCTTGAGGGATAATCTAGCCACCTTTAATTCTAGTGAATAAAAGACTGAAATTGGTAGAATATTTTAGGAAATTTAATCAAAGTGGTGCATAAACACCCTACTTCTTAGAAAGGTTATCTCATAGTATTATTTGCTACTGATAGGTATGTAGGCCTTCTATACATTACTGTTCTAATAACACATGTTCTGTATCAATTTCCAGTTAAATTATTCACTGTTCAGTCTAGTGGGTAATTTACTTTGCAGAAAATGACAAATATGAGTAATTTTTTTTTTATTTTATGAAACATCCACAGTGGTGTTTTTAATCTTTGATTCTGTATGTCATCTCAAGTGATGTTGCTGTAAGAAGTGATCTACACACTATTTTGTGCTGATTAACTTATGAAAGCAATGATATGTAATTTCCAAAAAAATACATAGGTTAATGCTTAAAAAATTGTATACGAAGTTTACTATATTAAATTATTCACAATTAACTTTTTCCTACTACATTATTTTGAAGCATCAATATACTACTGAAGATCACCAATGCATGTAGGGTTAAATTTTGGGTAAACTGGAATCATTTGTCATTTAATTATTTACAAATATTTCTATATACATTGATAGCTAAGCTCAGCAAATGTGCAAATCAAATTGCTCTTAATTTAGAAAGTGTTTGGACACTGCCTACCAATTTTATAATGTATCATCACTAATGAAACTAGTATTTTAAAATTAACTCAGTGTCTGAAGTTTTCTGTTTCTCTACAGAATTCCAATGCCCCTCCTTTAGTTAGCCAAATGGGAGGAATCTTCACTGGAAAATACAGTCTTGTCACAATATTTAGAACATGGTGGCTTTTAGTAGCCTTTTTTTCCATCTTAAAAAAAGGCAGGTGAGGAGCTGGGTATTGCCTAGCCCTTGAGTTATCCATACTACTGTTCCCCAAGACCTATTTCTGCTGTTTGGTGACTTATAGAAAGCAGGACAGACAGCAGCTCTTTCTGGGACTCAGACCAGCATACGTAGGGCAGGACTGTCCTTTTCTCCTGTGGGAGCAGAGGGACTCCTGGCGTGTGGATGACAGGCTGGCATTGAAGCACATGGATATGTAGGGTAGGGAAACAGGTCATACACATGCCCTGTCCAAGATAGAGGGAGGATGAGGGGAAGCACCTTTGCCGACCTCAGTTGTTGGCAGAGATAGGACCTTCTATCAAGTAACCAGAGAAACCACACTCGGACTGAATGCTCTATGATTCCCTCCATAACTGCTTAACACTTTGTGAATGGACAGACCATTCTTTGCATTGAGACTGTGAATTAAGAGTCTCCAACTTGCTGTATTCCTCAGGCTGTACAGTGCTACTGCATTGATAGTTCTGCCAAACCAGTATTCAGCACAAGGAGGTGATTTAAAAAGAGGCACATGCATGTATGAGTGTTTAAGAACACAGCAGAGGCTCTTGATGCTATAATAAAAAAATATCTCAGGAACCTCTCCAAGAGGCCTGAAGTGGAGCCTCTGTATTCAGAGATGCTTTGCTGTGTTCCTTCTCGCTCTTAAAGTAAGCATGCCACAATTCCCTCTGTTATCACAAACCACCACTAGAAGGGATGTACTCCTAAGACCCACTAATTTGGCTTCCAACTCAGAGAAATGGCAGTTCTCAGAGACTGGCAACTCTTGCCTGAGATGGCAGCCAAAGAAAAGGCTCTTGCAGCCTTTCCCTGGCAAAACAGGCTTCTAGTCCTTTTTAAGGTTCTGACTGGATGGGATCTGAGCTTTAGATTTTGGTTGAGGGTTTCTTGTAATGCCTGTCTCCTGGCACTGTTTCAACTTCAGTTTCAAGCCTGAGCTAGAACTGGCAAGCCTGTCCTCTGTATGCCTTTAGCACATTTTCACATGCACCGGATGCAGCTCTGGCCGCCATTTTCATTAGGGGGCATTCCCATTTTAAGATCTGAGGTACCAGTATCTGCTAGGTAAACTGGCAGGGTAGGTTTGAGCAGATGTGTTCCAACATCAGCCTTAATGTCAAAGGGAGGTTTGGAGACGAGGGAGCCACCATAGCTGTCAAAACCTAGGGAGCATCCAGTGTGCTGTGCCCCCATCCTGAATGTCCCAATTTTGGTAAGCAAAAGGTAATAGTAGATCTAGCAGTGGTCTGGAGAGAAAGACAAGGGCGACTAAAGGTGTGGACTAGTTTTCCTAGGAGGAAAATTTAAATAAATGAGTACTTTACAGCTTGGAAAAGAGAAACCGAGTCAAGGGCAATAACTATAGCCACTGTTTTTCCGTAACACCAGGATACATGGAAAACAAAAATATTGCATTGCAGGTCTAAAACACATGCAGATTTACAACAGAAAGAATCACAGAAACATTTAATTTTGATTTTGCCATTGTTAAATGCTCATGAAAGTTGAGACACATCTTAGAGTGATGTGACTGACTGCATTCTGAGGATAGAAAGGTACCTGAACCTTACCTTTTAATCTCAGTTTCAAACTTATTAGGATATTAAAAAAATTTTTTCCTACACTTGTTTTAAAAGGAAGCAGCCACTACTGTCCCTTGTAATGCAATGCTGAACAAGCTGAAGCCACATTAACTCCTGAATCAAGTTTGTTGAAGGACGTGTACTGAACCCTAACCGCAAATCTCACTTCTGCAACCAAATCTTGATATAAACATGAATTACACACTTTGCAACTCTGAAGTCTTAACAGAAGAACAGGTCTTAGTAGGAATAGAGATAAAACTTTAGGCAGCAAGATACTTTCTGCGTCAAAACCATTGGCACCTTTAAAGTTAAAAGCAAGTGATGGTTAAGTGGCGTGACAGGAATGGTGTCTCTGTCATATAGCAATTTAGAGAGCATCTCTCTCACATGTACCTTGAGTACTCAGAAGAGGTAAATAAGAATTCTTCTGAGAGATGTGAGGAACTGTGAATCACACTGGAAAAGGAAAGCAGGCAATTCCTTACTGAAGGTACTCATTTTCTTTGTAAATTAATCGCTCAGCCCATCACCATAATTGCTGTCATATCCACATTAATCTGTCATTTAACTTCCAGAACTCTTCAGACCTCAGCTGGATAGCCTTTCATTTGTATTGAACAAGACTGAGAAGCTAGAAGCATGGTCAATGCAACAGAGCACTGCTGACAGAAAAGACACGACCCAGTACCCATTGCTAATGATACAGAAAACAGCCACGGTTAGAGGAGCTGTTGTCTGTCTTTCATCCTGAAAAATCAGTGGACTGAAATCAACCAAAGAATCACTTACTAGGTAGCTCTACTCATGAGAGCGACCCCAAAGAATAATTACAGATGCATATCAAAATAGACAAATTCTAGAGCATCTTTGCTGTTTCCTGTTCAGCTTTCCTTATTCCAAATGGTTAAAAATCTATCCCTCACTAACTGCATGTATCTTGCTAGTCGTGTTCTCTCCTTTCACAGAATCACAGAAGGACAGAATGTTATGGTTTGGAAAGGACCTCAAAAGACTATCTAGTCCAACCACCCTGGCAGAGGAGGACCACCTAGAGCAGGTCACATAGGAATGTGTCCATGTGGGTTTTAAGTGTCTGCAGAGAACAAGACTCCACAACCCTTCTGGGCAGCCTGTTCCAGTGCTCTGCCACCCACTTTCTCTTGTCTACTGCTCTCTTCTTGATACAGGAGAAAAGAAGCAGTACACGCAGGTTATATGCCTCATATGTATTTTATATACAATATGTTTCTTTTTCTTGCCTTTTTTAACTGACAAATTAGTACTAGTTCCTTAAATTTCTGAAAATGCAACTTATCTTTCCTCATATCATCTCCTGGTCTGAAACCAAGCTGGTTTCTAAAGGGCACAGAAGGGAAAACAGATTGTAATTCCTAAAAAAGAGCTTTATTCTCATTCCTGTCTCTAGAGGCAATGAGCTGCTTCCAGCAGTTGAAGGAAATTAACAGCCACCTGGGTAGTGTAAACTGATAAGCTTGATCAGTTCTCACTCCCTTGCCTTGAGAAAACTTGTTTGCTGGTAACTCTGCCAGACAGCACTTGGCAAGCTCTGTGCTTGTCACATTGTCATGTGCACTCTCCCTTTTTAAGGCCTTCAGCAGGTCATGACCCACTCATTGAGAAATGCTCCTATAGATGATGAGTCTTCAAGCAACATAATAATTATTATTGCTGTGACTATATGTCAATTGTAACAGGAATGTGTTCCCCAGCATGCGGAGAAGACAGTAATAAAAACGAACATGAAGGAACTTATTTGCTAGCAATTACCAACAAAACATTAAGGAGAGAAGGGATGCGGTCACAGATGTCTAATAAGCAATGACAGCATGCATGTAACATCTCTTCTACAGATTCAGGTCACAAATTTATTTACATTGTTTAGTCATTTCGTACAATGGTTTACATACGTACTATACCTTAGGAAAATAGTATCTCCAGTTAATAATTAGGAGTACTTTCACTCCAAAAATCTCTATAGCTGTGACAGGATAAGCCAAAAATTACAGGTACAGTACTTGTCATTTGGTACTTACTTTCTGGCAGCTCTCAATGAATTCATCTATGGTAACTACTCCATCCTTGTTTTTGTCCATTTTCTGTTCAGAAAGAATAAGAATGTATGTTTATCCTCCTGAAATCCTGTGTAGAACAAGTGCTTTTTATTGTTCATTTCAATTACAGACCAGCCTAGGAACAACCAGGCCAAAATGCCATAAAAACATAGTAAGTGATATAACAGAATGAGGTTAAGGTGCTGATCATTGAAAAATCAAGGTGCAATGAGTAGATCAGAAAATCCTGGGATAGAACCACACAGAAGAAAAGGGACTGCAAGATTGGTAGTATATGCAAAACTGTTACAACAATGAAAATGTTTCCATAACTGCTAACAGAGTAGTCTTTTTGGCTCCTATGTTACTTGACCCACCTGGAAAAAGGTTTCCACATGTTGTCTAGGTGCATCCTCCTTAAGGACAGGATAGGTGCATTTCCCCATCATATCATATATCGCTTTCATGATATCAAGCATTTCCTGAAGAGAAAAAAAAAAGATGTATTTGTAACATATGGTGCATTGTAGACATTGCTTTAACTCAGGACACATAAATGAGTTTTAGGATTTACATTTTAGAATAAAATTTTGACATTGTGCCTGTTATTTTATGACTGAACTGCTTCAAGAAGGAACTACTATGTTCCTAGAAATTCTACCATGTTAGTTCAACTTTCATAGATAGATAAACTCGCTAAACAGATGTAGATGTATAAATTTGATTTTAAATAATTTAGAATGTGTGCAAGTTCATGGATGGGGCTTTGAGCAACCTGGTCTAGTAGGTGTCCCCGTCCATGGCAGGGGGATTGGAACTAGATGATCTTTAAGTTCCCTTCCAACCCAACCCATTCTATGATTCTATGATTCTGTGATTGTGAGAAGAATCTCCTGAGGTCTTGTGAATAAAACTGAACAGTATAAGTAGTTCCCTAACAGCAAAGCACATCAACTTCTTACAACTGAGATTTCCCTTGAGAAAATAGACACCCACGCACAAAACTGCACATATGCAAAGAGTTCTCCTTTTATATCAAAATCTTTGAATTTTATTAATAGAATAGACTTCTGAAAACTGTAAGAAAAATTATAAAAACAAGTCATCTGCCAGTATGCTGAGAAATTATTCCACAGATAACCCTTTTATAATAATCATGAAGTGTTTTTCTAAAAGTGTAAAACTGTAAATGTAATATAAATATATTTGCATAAAGACCCAGTTTTGAAAAAACATATTTTTATGAAAGCACTCATTTAGTTCCACTGTAATTTAAGTACATGTTTGAATCTTTGCAGAATAAAAGATGTAAGAAGCTTTTCATATAATTTCTGTTTCAAAGAAAAATATTTAGAAATAGATTCATAAAGCGAGTAACAATTATGGCCCACACACTTAATTCTTTTTTGTCCAAATATCCTACCAAACTACTTTATGCTAATGACTGTGTGTGCAAATATATTGACATATGCTGAAGCAAAACATTTTTGTGCGTGACATATTCTGACCTTTAGCAATTTCTGTGAAAATTTTCCCATTTCCCTTTTTTTGATATGCCTTTAAAATAAGAAAATTATTTTTAGTAAGTCTAGTTCATAGTATATGTTTATTTGCTAACATGTCTAATTAGACAATGAAGCCATTCTTTGAAAGCAGGACTTACACATACAACATTTAATTTCAGTGATTAGTGTAAAAAGTAGACCTTACCTCCTTAGTTATATATCCATCCTTATTTATATCATACAAATTGAAAGCCCAGTTCAGTTTCTCTTGTACTGTCCCTCGGAGTAAAATTGAGAGACCCATAACAAAATCCTAAATAGACAAAGGTCTTGGTCAGTTTGGAATTGAGCAGTTTTTCACAAATACTCAGAAATCCAGAATAATGCATTCATCAGAAGCACAGAAGTCTGGAAAGATGTGCTGTTTCTAATTTTTTTTCTTCAGAGTAAGTGATAAAAAATGATGTTTTTTTAAAAAATAATTAACAATGTAGGCACTGTTTGCCACGCTCAATAAATAAATTGAGTAATTTTCCATAAAATAAGCCATAATTTTCTATTAGTGGATTTATCCTCTGAAATGTCTCACATAAGCTGTTCCTGTTGAACTTAATACCAGGCAAAAGCAAATCCCATGGTTTAATGGACCAAAAAAAAAGCTTAAGTGGGAGTTAGATTAATCTAAGCATACACAGATCTTACGGCCTCAGACAGCTCTTCTGACAGCTTCAGTCTTTTTAACTATTCAAGTATAGGCTCTGGGTTTCCTTAGTCTCTCCTAAGTTTCTGTTTTACTGATATCTGTGCCCTCTGGGGTAAGTGGATACATGAATCTTGAAAGAGTGTTGCTCACCTTGTCTTTTCTACATCTCAATGACTAATTGAGGGTCATGGGGTTAAATCTCCAAACAGCTCTTTAACAATATACTATTAAGTATTAAAATGTTCAAGAAATTCAGAACAGAATGGATCACATTACAGCATTAGCAATTAACCTTTTTAATTCAGTACCGTGTCTTCAAATCTTTTCTGCACTGTTACACTTTTGATGTAACTTTTCCTGAAGTCCTTTGCAAAGGTCTCTGATAACTTTATATTCTTAGAATATTGTATTTCTGAGCTCTGAATTTGTTTTTAATTTGGCACCAGCAACATGTTTGCATTTATTCTATCTAAACTATGTCTGTTCTGCTTTTCCTGACTGTTTCTTTCTGTGATGCACCATCCTAGGTGGCTTCTTGGCATCATTTATATCCATATTTGCAGGGCTGCCCTTCTATCATTGGTTTTAAAAGCCATGCATAAAACCTTCTTGACTTTATGCTATTTTGAATGGGGCTTCCATATTGCATCAACATGTTTGGTGATCATATATAGTTCAGTGCAGGTGCACTGCCTTTGTCTGAGTGTTGTGCAGGAGTCAATCTCAGGAATAGGAGGAAGGACTTATCATAAGAGGAAGTTCTAATGAGTTGAATAAGCACCAGTTTGAATGGGGTATCTTTCCTACATACTTACTTTCATGCAATTGAAGAGTATAACAATATAATCATATAGAGATAGAAATTCTGATTCAAGGATATAGAAAAAAAATGCTGTGCATGGTGAAAGGAAATGTGTGTGTGAGGAGCAGTATAACAGCTAGCAGTTCAGTGCAGAATGGAAGAGTAAAGTGTCAGTGCTGAGAGTAGCAGCCAAGCTCAGAGAGCGTTTGTCTATATGCTTGTTACCAACAACTCGGTGACACGTGAATCAGGCACACGATTTAGCATGGAGCATGAACAAAAGTCCCCATTACAGTATTAGAGTATCCAGATGTGTCTTCCTTCCTGGTTTAGACATCTGATTTCTGGGAAGACAGGAATTCTACTTTTGGAGCCTATTTTTGTACGGTTCACAGTGCTGCTTGGACACTTACATTCTCTAAGGTTGACAACTCTGAGAGGGAAAGTCCTGCTCAGCTAAGCACCTAATGAGAAGAGGTGCCACTGATCTATGGTCACAAAGGAGCCTAAAACTTTGGAGGAAGGCTGTACACAACTCTAGGTCAGGTCTCTCTTCAGTCTGTAACAGTGAAGTTAGAAGCTCAGAAGTCTGTGCTTTGGTACTTGCCTTTTCTGCTTTTCACAGCTTTCTGCTTCTAACTTGTTAGCTTTCTGCTGAGTGTACTAATACCTATGGAGACCTCCATTCAGTGCCAAACTCTCCTGTTCCTAACTCTGGTTCTGCAAGAAAGAAGGATATCTCAGGGAAGGATTGCAAAATGGAGCATCATTGCACCTGTATTGGAGTCTCTGTGTGCTCAGTATCACAGCCTGCTCACGCTTCAGTTCTGCACTACAGCTCTAAAGAGCCTCTGGCTGTCATCTGGGATTAATTTTTGCAGGGGTTGTTTGTTTGGTTTTTGGTGTTTCTTTGGTTGGTTGTTTCCAGCAGTGATTCATTATCTCCTAGCAAGATTGTTGATGACTTTCTGGTTGCTTTATCCCTCAGTAAATCTTTGGAGAAAAATAATTCACTAATAAATTAATTAACAAGGTTAATAGTGTGCTGTCTTAAATTCATAGGAAAGCTTATTTTTCCATCTGGTCATGTTCCTTTATGTCTTGTTCAAGGCCAGAAGAAGTAGGTAAGCGGGCACCTAAATCCATTTTTGGATTTAGCCCTTAGGATTTTGGAAAAGAATCAAGTGATGAATGTTAGTCACAGAGGCAGTGGAGCCCAAGCATGCATAAAACAAAGATCACTGAGGAGGAGCTGCTATAAGAGGAAATCTATTTCTTTATAGGTACTGTACACCAGCTGGTATTAAAATGCTTATGAAATCATCACTGTCCTGAAAAAACTAGGTCATTTCTTACATGACATGAGCAAGACTTTCTGTGTTGAACAAAAAGAATCACACCTGGATTCATTCATTAAACTGCTAGCCTCATATCACTGCCTTGGAGACAATGACTGTTGGTCACTGTTATAATTAGTGAAATACCAAAGACGTGTTTGATCTTAAGATCTGGACTATCCTATAAAATTATGTTGACATGTTTATTATTTTATTAATTAACGCAAAATTCACAGGTAACAATTAAGGAGTAAAGCAATCAGAAAATCAACAACAGCTTTTCATTTTTTTTAAGAAACAAATACAAGTTTGGTTTTGAGTAAAAATGACAAAAAACTTTAAACATTCCTGTTGCATTTGGGCTTTGTGCTTTAAGGTACTGAGGTATAGTTGGATTACAGAGTGACTTTCCTTTCATCAAGATCACATTTAGAATGGCCTTAATCTGCATCTCCAACAAACTAAGCATACTGATTTGTATATCTGCATGCAGGTGCAATGTCCTTTACCTTTGACTATATGTCAGAAGTTATTTAACCTCAACTTTCCTGACTATATAAACAGCCTTGAGGCCCAGATCTTCGTTTTGGTTCAGTTACAATATTTGTGCAGTAAGTGGAAATCTTGCTTTCACATCTGTCTCTGTTCACTAATATACCAAAAAAGCCTTTCAATGGCTTGGTCACTAGGTTTCTTGGAACTCTGTCCCTCAAGTTTTAAAGTTTAAAACTAGTTTTAAAGCAAAGCTAGTTGCATAACGAATGAAATAAATTAGTCTTAACATTGATACACAATCATGGGATAAGGAGAGAGTTTCAAGCAGCAAATTTCATTATTTTGGTTTTTTATGCTACAGAAATGCTTCAGTTGGAGAACCTGACTTATCAGAATACAGAGATTTAGGGCCGACAAAACTCTAAGGACATAACAACCTCATCCAGTGAAGGTGTGCATTTAAGTTGTACTAAAATCTGTCACTTCATTATTGGTGGTTGGAAATTTGAGGAAAAAAGAGCAAAAGGCTATAACAAAGTCTCTCTTCCACACAACTCCAGTTACCATTGCTTCCTTAGAAAAAGGAGAGTGCAACAAAACAAATGTCATTCTCGCCTATGTTCTTTCAGTACCAGTTCAGATTTTCATATCCATTTTACATAGGAGAGAGACTTTTTCATCATAGCTCATTATATTAAATTGTATTTACTCTCACACTTTGATATAGAAAGTAAAATGGGATGAATGATTATTCTCCAAATTTTTAAATCACTCCCTTTTTCTTTACTTTTTGTGCTTTTTTTTTGTGTGGGGAGTTTGTTTGTTTTGTTTTGTTGTTGGTTTTGTGGTTTGTTTTTTTTCCTAATGGAAATGAGAAAACTAGAATACAGATTGCTATAGAAGGAATATAGCACAGTTGCACCTACAATAAAGTTATACTGGATTCACAATTACTGAAAATAATATAAAAGTCTGGATCACTCTGAGTTTATATGGGACAGAAGTAAGCTGTAAATGTCTGTTTTGGCAATAAAAAACTCACTGCTTCTTTTATTTTTCCTTGTTTATTTTATTCCAAAGCCTTTTTTCATATCTACTTTTCATATCTACTGCATTTCTTAAGACTTTCTGTCTGAGTTACAAATGTCAACTGATTGTCAGTTAAAGATATAAAACCTTCTTTTGTTCTCATTATTCTTAATGACAACAGCAGAAATGCTTCTCCAATACTGATGGTAATAATGTTTTCTCTTAATGCTTCTGCTATGGCTGATTGGACCAGAAAGTTTCCTTATAGAATTAACATATGTGAATAAAACCTCCATTCTCACGCTAGTTTCACACAAAGCCTGTTAATTTCAGCTGTCTGGAAAAAGGTAGACTGGGTTCATGTTTTTCTAGCAAATGCAAATAATCCCCCACAAAATTATCTGGTTATAGTCGCAGCTGAGGTATAGATTTCTGATAGCAGTGCATTTGCTTGGAAAGACTTCTCTGTCCATATTACAACAATAAAAAAGGAATGAAAATGCTTTAAAAAAGTTTCTGTCAGACTTCACAACATCAATCACCCAAGTAAATAGTCAAAACGTAGAGGGTGTTTAAACAAATTTAAAATGAGTGTAATAATTGCAATCTAAACTGAAATTGCAAGGATAACATTTGTCTATTATAAACAAAACAAAACTAAACATGACAAAACAAATATATCCTTTTCCAAATGGACTAAAATATCTTTTTTTTTTTTAAAAAAAACAATTCTGTAGCTTAAAATAATGGCTCCTTTGCAGTATTTTTGTACACCCTGTTTTCATCTAAACTACTGCAGTGAGTTGCCATTTTACCACATTATTGCACTGATGACATCAGCCTTAGGAGGGAAAACCAGAATTTTGAACACAGATTGGATTGTTAAATGGAGGAAGAATTAGTTTCAAACTTTGTTTTTTTTTTTTTTTCCATAGAACCTACTCCTGGAAACTAATAGGGTATGTGAGAAAACTTATTTTGGCCGAGTCATCCCCAGAACAGCTGTAGTTCAGAGTCCTTCTCACATTGCACAGGCAGGCAGGAAAATAAGGATTATTTTATGTAATGTGTACAAATTTGGTTACCTTTTAAATTAACAGATTTACAAAAATATTATGTAACAGTACAGTCTGAGTTAGCACTTTGGGATATACAACTGTAAAATAATAATAATTACTTTTGTTAATACATTGGAAAAACTTGAAACTTGAGTCGTATAAGCTAAATTTTGCATAATGTAAGCCATAAAATTAAAGCCACCAAATTGGACTTAATTACAGGGAATGGCAAAATATTCAGTTGCAGAGAAAGAAATAAAAGTATCACTTACCTCAAAACTTACAGATCCATTGTGATCAGTGTCAAATGCATTAAACAGAAAATGTGCATATGTTGTGGAATCTACAATTTAAAACAGTAAAAATAATTCATAGTAAGCACATCTTATTTCCTTTAATTTCATTCTATAAAAAAATTTAATACCAAAATATATTTGGATACCAAAGCTTGATAGCAAGACTAAATTTTCAATTCCATTTGAACTTTTTTTTTCTTATCAGGCAGGAGGGATAAATTATAAGTGCAAGTATGTGGGTAGCTACACTGTTAGGAACACAAAATATGTAATTCTGGTCTAGAATACCTTTATTAATTTTCATTCTTGTTTCTGCTAATCACTGATATCTGAATGAACAGCAAAGAAGTCATGTTACTGTAATCTGAAACAACCTGTGTTATTGGTAGTGCTACTAAATGACCGTGACAAGGGATCCAGCTTGTATGTTAAAAAAGAAAAAAAAAGCAGTAATTTTTGTTCAGTTTAAATGAGGGACGCAGACACCACCATCTGTGCATCTAGTGTATCGTTCTTACTCTGAAGACAGGCTGAAGCTGAGCTTGTCAGAAAGCTGCTGGTCTGCTTGGGTCACATGCTTACCTACAGGTGAGACAAACTCCGGTCCAGAGAAACATATTCTTAAAGCTGGTTTGCACCTTAATTCCTATGAACATCATATGAGGGCAAGGTGTTTAAAAACCTCAGAAAAAAATGGCTGTGACTAACTGAAGTGGTCAATAAGGCTCTGAAAGATGACCTTGAATGAGTCATCCTTTCACTAATTACTTCTATACTTTCCAAACCTACTGACCAGTGCGTATCAACTCATTTTAGAAACACAAGGCAGCATGAATCTGTCAAGCCACTAAGTTTTTATAAATATACATCTTTCCATTTCCATTGAAGGCCTTCCAAGAGGAACAACCTGCTTCTGGAGTAACATATTGTGAAGAGAGAACTTCTCCAGACTACCCTCTTCATGTGAGGTACGAGCCACTGGAGTTATGGGAAGTCAGCATTCCATAATACCTTTTCCTTCTCCGAAAGCCATGCAAACTAATGTAGGCTGAGTTACTGAGTTACTTTTAATACTCGTTGCTTTCCTCTTTCTCCTTCATGAATTTAGATTAATTTTAGGATAATTAGAATTAATCTCACAAACTTTTAGTAAAGTGAGAAGTGTTACAAAATCTGTGTCCCCCTTGCAGGGCAAAACCTTCCCTATCATGGAAAAACCTCATAAGTGAGGAGATATATTTTTCTGGTTTCATGGCACTAAACGATTTTACCTTCCATATTAAAACTGAAAACCTTTATTTGTCACAACGCAAAATATTGTTTTGAGTTAACCTGAGTGATAGTGTTGGGTCACTCACCTGAAATTTCACCTCGACACCTAGGAATCAAATATACCAAACTTCAAAACTTCATACTTCACAGATTCAGACCTGGTATTAGTAATCTATCTGGTCTCACTTCAATATTTGAATTTCCTATGATGCAAAATACTTGTAACAAGAAAAAACTCTGCAATCTTTAAACCCTGTGTCTCTTAATGCCTTTTCAGGGAATTGAAAAAAACTCCACCACTACTGAGACATTTATTTATTCATCCATGTATTCAGTCATCAGTGTAATTGCTGAAGTGTGACCTAGCGTATAAATTCCTGCTTTAACTGAAAAGTGTAAATTTGTTGACTTCAGTTTATATTTAGGATTTTAATAGTTATATTTTCTATAATCTACTGAGACATCTGTTGTGCCACAGAATATACTATGTGAAGCATCTCCAGGGAAAAAAACGTATTATACAGGTATAATTGATGTAAACTGAATTTTAAATAGCCTTCCATTCTCTTGGCATTCACGTCTTAAAAACATGTGAAACATTCCTAATTGTTTTCTGTACATTTACAGAAAACACCAAGGTTAACACAAAGTTTTTTTAGGTTGTTGCCCACACATCATGCTACTCTTTTTGTATTATGGTATATGAAAAAGAATATTCAGTTGAAGAATATTTTCTTTGTGGTAACCCCTTCTGGAAAAAAAAAAAATCATCATTTTTTTAAGATTGTTTGTTGAAGAAGTTCTGGTCTGAAATTTTGCCTTCAGAAACACAGCAAGATAAGGTACACTAGTCTTTTAACTACAGCTACTTAATATGATTCCCTATGCCCTTGCCTTCCTAAATTTTGAACATTAATCATGTTAGACAAAAGCTTAACTTTTTAAATAAAACATGTTTTCTTTCCAGAGATCTGATTTCATAACTAGCAGGCTAAATGGATATTTTGACAGGTTGAGACAGAAACAGATATTAAACCAGAATTCCTTTGAAATACACCATGAAAGCATTTTAAACAGCAGAGACAAAAAATGGTAGTCATTATACATCAAACCATAAAAATAATCTGTTCTGTTCATAACTGACAAGGAGTGTAACAACTAATGGGACCTATTCTTTCACCTGTAAGGCAGTGGTTTTCCAAAAGGAAGTTACTGGAGTGCCTTCCTGGCATGGAGAGCTTTTTACAAAGCCATTTCTGCATTTTAAAATACATTGTCTTTACTGCAATCCAGAATCATATCCTTTGTTACTCTTGTGGCCCCCTTTTTACTCTTTCTACTCCTCCTGTACCTTGTCCTGGATAGTCTTCAAACTTGCTTGATGGAAAGTTGCCTTGGTGGATGACACTGGAAAATTACTTTCTGTGATTAACTGGTCACTCTGAAGCTTAAAAACTTACACATCATTCTGTTTGCACAGATAATCTGGTTTTGCATTACATAGACCATTGGGGCACAGATCCACATGTATGGCACACGTTCTAATTTGGGGACAACTTTCAAACTTTTTTGTTTTTCCTTTTTAATATCCAGACATACAAAACTCAATATTTTAAATGCACCTGAAATTTAAATTCCTCAGCTGCACACAATATTTTGGCAATATATTCAAAGATTTATGCATCCAGTCTGGCTGCTTAACTAGACACTTAAATATGATGATCCCACCCTGTTGTTAACATGCAGGGGTGTGCAAATACAGGCAGTTAACTGGGCTTTGAAAATACCTTGGCTGTTGTAAGAAACAAAGAAGATACTTTGGCTCTCATACTTCTCAGAAAATGGCAAAGTCAACACAGCAAAACAGCACAAACCCCACACAAAACAGTTGAAGTCTCAGTGGGCCCACAGAAATTAAAGGATTACTGATGTGAGCTGTTACTTTTCCAAGGACATTCAGGTCTTCTGCTGTTCCACAGAATATTGTTCCTGAAATTTTGAGGAAAACTACATAAGGCCTTCACATTTATTTGTTCTGTCGTTATATACTGCTAAGGCTGCACTCTGTTGCGTGGAGGCCATGGAGGATGAGGAGAGCAAGGGGATAGCTTCTGATGGTCACTTCTCAGTGTTCTTTGCCAAGATCTCTGAAAGCGCTTTATAAAGAAAGCTAAAAATGCTGTTACTAGTACACAACACCTGCTACTATGAGTGGATTACCTGGATTTGATACTTCTCTACCCTGCTAAAAATCTTTTTACTATATATTACTGAAGTTAAATAAAGCAAGAAAACTGCATTTTTCTCCCCCAGAAAACTGTAGCTCCCTAGCTCCTTTGTTGCAGATAGAGTAATGCCATCGTTGAAACTGCAGTGAGTAGTGTAACCATGTGCAATAGTAATGCAGTATTGCATTTACAATTACAGTTGCAATTACAATTACAGGTAGAAACAGGCAGTTATTAGTTATTAGTAGGAGTAGGTATTTACAGCTCTTAACATGATGCAGTGGAGAGAAGAACTTTTTGCCTCGTACATGAGCACAGGCCTTGAGCAGCAGAGAGACAGGATGCAGCACATGGGAGAGCAGGTGTGGGATGAAAGGGGATGGGGTGCAGGCTGGCACTGGAGACCCCACAGCTGTAAACAACTCACCCCGGTCAGCTAAAGAAATGCAGGTGTGGAGATGAACAAAACTGGGTTTTTTTAGAAATAGAAAACAGAACAAAGAAATAGTATCTAACACAGGTAAAAGTCACCATCTATAATAGATTTGGCTGTAATGTGGAGCTGCAAACTAACAGGGGAGAGAAAGGCATAAAAATGCATTAGCAAACATGTAGAAATGACCCCAGGTGAATCCTAGAGTGAAGCAGAAGAAAGCACCAACATGAACATCCTGTTCCTCCTGGGGAAGGACTCCAGGTGCTGTTACTGCACTGCAGTCTCCACCTCTCCCCCAGAGGATGCCACTGCCCTAAAGACTCAGAGGAGCTGTGGAAGTGTGAGCATTAGCACCAGGAGAAGGGGTAAAAGCTGAGACTGGGGTATATATAAATTTTAACTACATTAACATTCTTTCCTTTCTGTAACAATTAGATTTGAACTAATAAAGATTAGGCTGTAAAAATTACATTTATTCTCAAAATACATTTTAGCATTACTTTTAGAAAATCTGTGCTTTCTCTTTGCCCATAAACAATTTGGAGTGTAACAACAGGAAACTTTTTTATTAGTATTTTAAGTGTAATAAAGGTGTAATAAACCACATACAGAGAACTATTTTCACTAGCCAGTGTAACTAAAAAATATAATATCTGAAACTGTAATTGTTAGCCTAGTTTAAAAGCCTAGACTGAGAAATAATCAGTAGGCAGGTCAACTCTTGTAGCCTTTTGTTCTTTCCTATTGAGTGTGCCTACTTGTTAAGGATTTCAGCAATGGTAATCCACACTGAATGCTGCTCTTTACCTTCTAAGTCTTTATTCAAAATAAAACTAATTGAGAGACATTTTGTTCCTACCAATTAAATGTGTGTTTTGTTTTTTGTTTTGTTTTGTTTTTTTAAATACAAGTGAAAAGTCCCAGGGAAACATGCAAATCTCAAGAGCAGTGGGAGAAGATGAAGAGGCAGGATTGAAGAGCTGTAGGAGAACATGAAGAGGCAGAACTGAATGGTAAAAGCAAGAGGAAGAAAAAGAAAGGAAAACAATTAAAATTAAAATAAAACCTGAGGTTCAAGGCAAAAAACTGCTACACATTTTTCTGTTACCTTCATTGCACTAAAAGATAATGAAGACAAAGAAACTAATGAAACCCCTGGAATTAATTAATTGAAATTAAAGTTAGCAAAGCCCCTTGTTTAAGTAGAGGAACTCCATAGACATCAAGGGGCTTCTGGCATCAATACTAGAGGGTACCTGTAGTGCCTCCTACAGTTTTCATTCCTACTGTGAAAGATTTTGTGGAATAAAAGAGAATGGGGAAAACTGTGTAGAAAGTTTAAAAATAAATTACTCACTCAGAGAAGCCTAGTTTTCAAAGGTATCCAAACACAGGTAGTAACTTCATAATATAAAACAGACTTCTTACAGATATCATTGCATTTTACTCAGAAATAGATACTTTAAAATGTGTCCAACTGTCCAAGAACAACCCCATGAGTTCAGACAGAGCTTGAGACAGCAATCTTGTTAATTTGAACAGGCTCTTTTGTCAGACTTAGGAACTAACAAACAAAACTCTGTTCACTGTAGTACTTACTGTGTGTACCAAGTACTTACCTCCCTGTGGAAAGAACTGAGAGTAAATCTCTTTGAAGGTTTCTTCATTGACAACACCACTGGGGCATTCCTAAAAAAAATGGAGAGACAAGAAAATTAATACTATCAAATCTGCTTCATCAAATCATGCGTTCATGAGATCGTACCAAACATGTATGGGACCCTGAGAGTTTAATGTCTGATTTTGCACTTTCAACCAAATATTAATACATTAAAAATTCATCACTTTGAAGTATCTTCCAAAAGAGTTCCCACAGGACAAAAATTCCTTATGTGCCATATACATCAATTTCAGTCTTGAGACCTGAGTGACAGATGTGAATAGCGTATGGAGCTATCAGTGTTGCTGTGGGTCATGAGTGGTCATCCCCACCCCTGCAAGCAGCATGTATATGGCATGGAAACCAAACTGAATTGTAAACTGCATTTGCAATTAGGTATTACTGGTACTACATGCAGTCATATTCTATGAGAAGAGTGTTACTCAATGAATTCAAAAGACCCTGCCACAGAAGCAAACCTTGCAGATCCTTCTGCCTCCTTATAGCTTTTTTATAAATTGAAATATGTAAAAAAGAACACACAGAAAGTGTCAGGGCAGAGTGATACAAAGAAAATGAAACAAAGTGAGAGAGGATTTAAAAGAGGATTAGAGCAGTGACTTCACAAAAGTTACTTCTGTAAAGAGGTAGGAAAAACAGAAGCAGTACTGTATTTTTTACTGAGCTGCACATAAACATCAAAGAACGGGCAGATGATTTATAGCTCTGAATTTGCCAGATTGAGCAGATGACTTTGGACAATGCATTTAATTCCTTTTTGCCTTAACTGCTTCCTTAACACGGAGCGTGAAAGAAAGCTTTTTAAATGAAAGCATTTCTAGAAACAAAGGTAAACAAAAGACAAATTAAGTGTTAAGGTTTATACATTTGTTTTTTTCTATTACTAGGCTATTTGGACTGATGGCTCAAACTCATGTGCTCCTACTCCTAACCTGGGGAAAGCAAATAGCTTTAAATTAAGATAATGAGTAGTGTAACATCTTTTACCAGTGTAATAACAGCTTTTCCTGTGAAAGCAAATGACATTTCTACTAGATAAAATAAGGAATGCTGAGATATTCATAGTTCTGACAGCTTCTGCTGAGAAACCAATAGTGTAACCTTGTTAACTGAGAGATGAATGCACCAGCTGAAAGACACATCAGGGATTATTTTGATTTATGTTGCTTATCCTCAGCCAAAATCAGCTCTTCACCATAACTAAGCATGTGCCATAATTAAGCACTTGCAAACACACAGTAAGAAACAAATCTGTTTGATCAGAACAGACAGACAAACAGCAGTCACAGAGACAGAAGTATGAAACTGTTTCGTCCTGGGTACAGAGGCTGTCACCAAAGAAGAGACAGAATTAGAGCACAGGTCTCTGTGAGACCAAATATATATCAACTTCTGGGCCACACTGCCTTTCAAACAAAAGCCTTTGAGGAATGGGAGGGACAGTGAAATAAACCTAGCATCTCTACCCTTTCTAAGAAAGGAGCAATCCATTAATTGAGGTGGCATCTCCCTACCTGTCATGTATTTGGGTGTGAGTGCATTCTAAAACATTTCTCTCTGCTTTACCAGTTTCCCCAAAAGACTGTAGTCAGATAGTCTAGTGTCTTTGTGGTCTCTAGCAGTTTTACTACACTGTTTGTCTTTTTATGTGAAACCTTCTGGAGTTGTATAAGTCCAAGCAAAGGAGCAGAAAAAAAAACAAACAAACAAACAAACCACACACACACAAAAAAAAAACCTCAAACAAACAAAAAAAAACCCCACCACAACAAACAGTGAAGGGTCAGATATTCGTTGATATAGCACTATAGTTATTCAATATAGGAAATGTAACAAAGGTATTTGTAAGTTCCATATCCAAGCACACATTGGTGTATATACTCTACATCACTCCCAGACCTGCCTAAGGAAGGATGGTGCACCTTTCTCCCTGAGATGGGTGGGAGTGTGAAAGGACAATGCAGTATTTCAGAATTTAGAAAAACAAGCTGTGGCTTCTTTCTTTTCTGCAACTAATGTCTTTTCAGACAAAAAGTTAGGTGCATTTTGACTGAACTAAAACCAAAATCTCTACATTTGAATTTGTGCAATTCGGATTTTGTGTGTCTTTAAAAATTTTTCTGAGATGCTTAGTGAATAATGAATGACAAAATATGCATTTAAGTTCATATAATTCTATGGCCTATTAAGAATTTTTTCTACCTTTTCCTTGGATGAGAAAGACATTCAAAATATGCTTATTCTGCAAAGAGTGCTCTCCCCTTTTTTCAGGAAATGCTAGCAACTCCAGCTGTGACAGTTGTTAGTCTGAAGCTATGAAGAATAAGAGTCATGCTTTCTGACTGCTTTTAAATGCTGTGATGTTTGAGGAGAGTTAAAAGTACTCTGCAGAAATTTGTCTGACTTATTCTTTGTTCAAAATAAGTTAGCAGCCTGTTTTTAGAAAAAACCATGATCTACATACTTCATTTACCTTTAAAAGTGCTACTTTTTTTCTGTCACTTAATGAATTCATTTCACCATACTGTTTGAAAGAAACATTTCTTGAAAAGGCAACCTTCTTTCACACAGTGACATATTAGAACCAGGAATGGCCTCTTCAGTTTATCTAGGTTGACCCTTGTGTTTTCCTCTGCGCTTTCCTACAGCATTGCCAGAAACACCTTACCTTTTCCACCCATGGAGGTCTGGAGTGGTGGTATCTTAAGGACACTAATTAAATATCTGTGATGCTGGCCAATTACTCTTATTAGATATAACAGTTCAAACTTTTCTTTCTTTAGCTTGAATATTTCAATTCTATTCTTAAATATTTCAGTCTAAATATATATGTAGCCAACAACATTTACCTCCAAGACTGCTCTTCTCTTGACTCATAAACATGGCTTTCTTGTATTTATCAGGAGATTTATCCAGTTCAGTGAAAGATATTTAATATTGTAACTGTTAAGTATGCACCATGGCTTTATATCAAGTTATTGCTGACGTCTTCCATTGTACCAGCTATAATTAAAAAAATCTTTCTAACCTTTCATTAAACTCTGATAGAAGAGAGGAAAATAATTCAATGGTTTGAAAGAAAAATGTGTGGTTATTTAAACCATTCCCTATATTCTTTCTCCTCCAGCTGTGTATAATTTATTTTGTTACAGAAAATTTGTTCGACAGTCTTTTAAAATTGCATTAATGATGTATTATATTTTCCTTCTGGAGAATAAAAAGGAGGAAAAATTAATCTTGAACTGTTTTTCCTGAGTCCAGTGCTCCTGCCTTTAAAAAGAAAATAATCTAAACTGACAGAAAGAAGAGACAGGGAATAAAAAATATTATTCTGCCTTTTGATATCTCTCTTGCTTGCAGTTTTACTGCTGGGAAATTACACCTCCAGTGCATGGTCTTATGAACCACTCCAAAACTTGTAAATTATTTACAAGCTTCATGCTGTCTAAGCTATCTTTTCTTCAGTATTTCTGAGAATACTGCAATAAGTGGATTCATCTTTACTACCTAATCAACACTCCTTTCAAACAAGAATCAAACCCAAAAGACACACAAAAAAGGGAGTAATAGTGAAATGTAGGAAAGAGAATGTAGGAGAAACAAGCTCAAAGCTCTGACTTTTGTCTGTATAATAAACAATTTTTTATGATGCATAAATCTGTATTAGGAGCTTTGGGAATTTAAAATATATTTTAATTATAGGTGTTTTCTCCATGCTTTATCTGCTGACAGTTTTTGTTCTGCTTCATTTCAGATATATGTTCATGTCCATTGACTTAATTATCTCTAACTGATTGATAATATTGTCTCTTTTTCCATAAACTTCTATTCTGATTGAAAGTTTTAATTTTCCATAAACAGAAAATGTAATGGGAGAACATGTACATAATTTTGAAATACCATGCATATACTTTAAAGCTAATTCTACAAAAAATCCCACAACTTAAACCCCCAGTGGCTTTTCATAGTTCCATCCAGTTCCTATTTTTTTATTTTTGTGTCTTAGGGCTTGGATCAAAGCAACACGAGACTTTAACAAATGGCCTTGATTTAATAACATAATCTAGGCCAAATTAATATAGAAATTTTGGCCAACAGCTCAGAAAGCTCAAAAAGAACTGTAACGTTCTTGAGAGGAAATCATCCCTTGCCCCGGTACCATCTATGAAGCGACTGGCTGAACTGCAGCACTACTGAAAAGGATTTTGGGTTACAGTGGATGTCAAGCTGAGCATGAGCCAACAAAGAATTCTAAATGCAGATAAGATAACTCTCAAGGCTAGCAGGCTGAGGAAGTTATTCCCTCCCTCTATACTTGGGACAGTCTTGGAACCCTTCCAGGGATGTAGAGAAATTGAAGAGGGTTTGGCAGGAGGCCATGAAGACTACAAGGGATAAGAGCACAAAGCTAACAAGGATAGTAGGAGAGACCTGAGCTTAGTTAGTCTAGACCATCTCTAAAGGATAAGCTAATAGCAGCCCACCTGAAGGGCAGCAACAGAGATAAAGGAACTCTTTGCAGTGCCAATTTAACAAAGTTCAGTGGCCACAGTCTGAGGTATGTGAGCTCACATTAGAAACCAGGAAAAACTTTTTCACTCTTTTTGGTACCCACAACTGTGCCAATGACCTGAATTAAGCTAGCCCTTAATGTCAGTGAAAATTTGTGCTGTTGAGCAGCCTTGGAAAGTTGTCTCTCTATGCAACAGAGGTTTTCTAAGGGATAAGAGACTTTGTTTGATAAGTGGATCTTGATAATTTGCCATTATGAAGAGGAATATACTGACCAGGACAGAAGGGTGTGGGTTAGAGACTTGAGACAATAGGTTCTGAAGCTTGTTTTTTTTCAGTCTTTAATGCTTTTAAGGCTTATGAAAATTAACATTTCCTACTTGTAAAGCTGCATAACTAAGGTGAATTTAAATTTGCTATGTCTACTTATCGATATATATGTGATTGGAACATAAGCCTTATGACCTTATCTGCAGAAAACTGAGCGAAATGATCA